GATAAAGTTCAATACTGTGCATGTTGTTTGACGTTCCTAACAGAACCCAACACGAGCGAGACCGAGCACACCCAACTTTGTTTGCATTGTTCTTGAAGATTAAGAGGTTGGTGTGCTCAAATATTTTTAGGGTCATAACATAGATGAGATAAGGAGTTGATTGGTATAGATATGTGCCATATATGTTCAGTTATGAAGGATATATAAGCATGCAAAATGTATAAATGCTTCCAGCTCACTTGCATGTTCCATATATCATGTTTTTGTACGTTTTTTATTATGCTATAGAAAACTTGGGAAACTATACTTTATATAGCTGCTTATTGTGTAAAATAGAAGTTCATAGGATCAATAATCAAGTCGTTTAGACTAGTATAACTCGAGTTATAGATTTTTTAAGATAAGTGTGCAAGTTGATTTTATATAGCAGATTTCAGCTACGACTTCAAACGCGAATAACTCGAGTTCTACTCAGGATAAAATTATGAAATTTTATGGACATACTTATATATGAGTTAAGAGCTTGCATATCAAACTTTATGAATTTATCTTAAGAATTGAGTGATTTATGAATTTTACAAATAGATGGTGCAAGCAGTTTTTCTATGAACCGGCAGCATGTTATATTAAATGTATGACCTTTTTATCGTGTCTTAATGTGCTCAAACGCAAAGATGATCTTCTTTAAAGTTATAGGTCTATTTATAAGCTTTCTAATAAAGTAAGGTGCATGCTGATATGAATTCTGTAGTGTGAATTAGATTCCAAATACTGAGGTGCTGTTGTAACATAAATTTGTTTCTGACAGATTTTATGAACCAAATACATTATGTTTAAACTCATTGAGAGCATTGTTATTTGCCAGTGTGATCTTAAGAAAAGTTGTAGATATTTGAGTTAGCTTCTATGTGGTTTTTGAATCTCACTAAAAACATGTTTGTAGCTTCATTTATCCTACAATTACTAAAGTCCTGTCAGCTGTATGATTTCAATTGTGGACTGCAACTCGGTTATGAATATTTGTTGAATTATCTCCTGCTAAATGACCTTATTTGTTTTCGATGTCTGCATAAGAATTGTAGATGCATGTCTTAGGGTTAAAATGCAATTAGAATCATGATTATATGACAAGTGTCCTGCAAGTTATGTTGACTTTAAAATCGCTACGAGGGTTAGGTTCTGAAAACTCTTGTTTTATTTTCGGAAAAAGAGTTTAATTTTTAAAACGCGTGTTTATATAGCCTATATGAGCCGATTTAGATCAAGTGAATGTTTCTTAATTGTTTATGTAGCTTAAGGAGAGTCGAGCCTCCGATCGCTACTCCAATTGTTCAGCACTTGTGTCAGTCAGTTATCAGGTGGGGGTCATGTACTGGATTCCACATCATATATAATATTGGTAACATGACAGAGGTATGTTCGAGACAGTTAGTTTCTCTAGGTGGAGGCCGAGGGCCTTAATATCCCATCTGGAGACCTGATGGAGGCCAAGGGCCTTAATATCCCATCGGGGTGTGCACACGAGCGGCCAAGGGCCGAGGGTCATTTGACCATAGTAAAGCAAGAAAAGAAAGTTTACAGATTCAACTCTTATATATTTATGTTCATGATACGACATTATAAATGCTGTTTTATTCAGTACTGGTCTTTGCGGAGCATAGTGGTTTGCTCACGCCTCCATTGTGTTTTTCAGGAGACGGAGTCGAGCGTGCCGGATGAGCATAGACGTGGCAAAGCGTGGTCATGAGAGTCTTGGACATTTTTACGCACATTTTATGTCCCAGTATTTTATGATCATGTATTATTCAGATATGTATGCATGTATTTTCTGTATTTCGGATGCTTCCGCTAGCAGACTAGACAGTGCGAGACAGTTCAGACATTGCATGTTTAATTCCATTATCCGTAGCTGATAGTTTGGTTGCATGTTTTATATATGTCTGTGAGCAAGTTAAGTAAGTTTTTATTTGTGACATCCCGCAACTAGTTAGTATTTTCGAAAACCAAGCTCGCACGACCTTTCGAAAATAAAAGTAAAAATTTTACTCTGATTTTTCAAAGCTAGTAAGGCGGGGTGTGATAGAAGCTGGTATCGGAGCGCAGAGTGCGTTTCTGTATACTTTAAAAGTTAGAAAAGCATGACCACGCCACGCTCATCCCGCACCGACTCCGAGGTAAGTCACCTGACTCAGTTTAAGTTTTGCAAGTGCTAAATTCAGTTTAAGTATAGGGCCTAGATAACTATCCTCCTGTAAGACAGATAACTCTAGAGACAGAACTCTAGACAGAACTCCAGAACAGCTAAGTCCAAGGACTCTAGACTAAGTCAGAACTCCATTTTGAGCCAGAACATAGAAAGTTTAAGTATACCAGAACTCTAGCCAAGCTAGGTGTTTTCGGATTTTACCGTTTATTTTATTATCTCAAGTCTAGTATGGCTATTTCTTAATTGGCTATACTGATCAATTCAAGTATTTTTGGATCTCCAGAATGCCGCCACGCAGAGATCCTCAAGTCGCAGTCGAGCAGGACCAGGCTGTTGTGGTCAGCCGATTGATCCGCCCCGTTTCTCTGGGGAGAATGGCCCGCTAGCCGTGGCCGAGTGGATCCGCAAAATGGAGCGGATCTTTCGTAATATGGGTATTTCTGTGGCGCATAAGATGGCTTGCGCCGAATTGTAGATCGAGGGTGCCGAAGGAGATTGGTGGGAGGATTACTGGCGTCTCCGCACTGAGGATGAGCGTGAGGCCACGAGATGGTCGCAGCTTAAGACGCTCATGGAGGATAAGTTCTACCCTCGCCATTTCCGTCAGAGGATGGTACGGGAGTTTTCTGCCCTGAAGTAGGGCCAGCGTTCGGTGGATGAATACGAGCGCGAATTCACTCGTATGAGTGTCTTCGCTCCGCACCTCGTAGACACAGAGGAAAAGAAGGCCCACCAGTTCCTCGAGGGATTGAGGAATGACATCCGACTGTTGGTGGCCAGCCATGGTTACCTTGAGTATGCCGAGACTGTTGAGCGAGCTCAGCAGATTGAGGCGTATATCCAGCGGGATGCCATTGACCAGCCACCAGCCAGACAACCAGCACCACCCCAGCCAGCTCAGAACAAAAATAAGAGGAAGTGGGATGATAGTAAGGATAAGAGGAACCGTGGACAGAGGGGCCCAGCTCCGGTGGGCCAGCCAGCCCGACAGGATCTGCCGGCCTGCGCTACTTGCGGACGTCAGCACCGCGGGGAGTGCCTGGCTGGGCAGAACATATGTTACCATTGCCGCCGCCCAGGACATCTGAGCAGAGACTGCCCAGACCGCCCTCAACCGCAGCAGGGCCAGAGACAGCCAGCCCAGAGACAGCCCGCACAGAGACAGCCAGCCCAGAGACCCCCAGGATAGCAGCAGCAGCGTGGAGCTCCCGCCCATATTTACGCGCTTGACCAGGACCAGGCTGCAGAGCAGCCAGGTACCATGTCTGGCATGTTATCTTTGTTCCATACTCTAGTCTTCGCTTTATTCGATACCGGGGCGACCCATTCATTCGTCTCGGCCAAGTGTTTGTCTGCCTTAGGGGCCCAGGGAGTGAGTACTGTTGACCCTCTCGAGATTAGCCTCGCATCGGGAAGGAAGATAGTTACGAGTTCCCTGGCCAAGAACCTGAGCATCGATATCAAAGGCTGAACTCTTGTCGTAGACGCGTTTGTGATTGATATGAATGACTTCGATTTAATTCTTGGCATGGATTGGTTGACGAGATACCAAGCAGACATCCGTTGTCGCGACCGGGAGGTGACCCTACATTTATCCGAGGGAGACCGCATCACGTTCTTCGGGACGAAGTCTCGAACTCTACCGCGCGTTATTTCCATGGAGAAAGCGACGAAGTACATGCAGAGAGAGGATTGTCAGGGATTTCTACTCAACATTGTTGGGGAATTTTCGGAGAAGCTGTCTCCCGGAGATATACCCATTGTTCGTGAGTTTGTGGATGTTTTTCCCGATCAGCTTCTGGGGGGACCACCTAACCGCCAGGTGGAGTTCACAATCGACTTAGTCCCCGGAGCGGGACCAGTGTCGAAAGCGTCGTATCGCATGGCACCTAAAGAGCTTCAGGAGTTGAAGGCTCAGATTCAGGAGCTGTTGAGTCTCAGTTTTATCCGACTGAGCGTTTCACCTTGGGGAGCACCTGTCCTTTTTGTTAAGAAGAAGGATGGGTCTATGCGTATGTGCATCGACTACCGGGATCTGAACCGGTTGACGGTGAAGAATAAGTATCTGCTTCTCAGAATTGAGGATTTAA